AATGTGGTTAGAAGAGAGAAAAAGCTTTAATGGAAAAATCAATGTTTTTGCATGCAAGAAAAAGCTACCCTAGGAAGTTATTAAATGTGGTTAGAAGAGAGAAAAAGCTTTAATGGAAAAATCAATGTTTTGCATGCAAGAAAAAGCTACCCTAGGAAGTTATTAAATGTGGTTAGAAGAGAGAAAAAGCTTTAATGGAAAAATCAATGTTTTGCATGTAAGAAAAAGCTACCCTAGGAAGTTATTAAATGTGGTTAGAAGAGAGAAAAAACTTTAATGAGACTAATCTCATGTTCAGTCAAATTAATTGATAAGAGCCAAGGGTGTACCTAGTGGCTTACTGATTTTCAAGTTAATGATAAACTCTACTATGTACCTAGAGGTTTTTAAAGTATTATAAAAATGTCTGCCTTTCTTAACCATGCCATTAGGTTTGTTTTAGCATATTACTTTTCAGTAATACAGGTGTTTTAAATGAATTTCATAATTAAATTTATTTGTTAATTTAGTTCTTCTGTTTTTGTGATCTGTATAGCATTTTATTTTATTTGTGTGTGTATGAAATCTTTAAAATTCAGTGGGTAATCATGATTATGTTCTTAGAAATCAGGAGTGTTTTAAGTTGTAACAGTTCATGATGTTAGGAAAACACTTAGGTTCAAAAGATCAATTAAAGACAGAAATACAAAACCCTATAATGAACATTTTAAAAAAGGTAGACATTTTGAAAATGCTTGGTTTATAGAGTTTTGTACTTCTGTCTTAAATTGAAAGAACATAGTCTAAGGCTTGGTATGGCCAGGTGGTTAGGGAGCTCGACTCGCAATCTGAGGGTCGGCGGGTTCGATTCCCAGTCCCACCAAACATGCTCGCCCTTTCAGCCGTGGGGGCGTTATAATTGACGGCCAATCCCACTATTCGTTGGTAAAAGAGTAGCCCAAGAGTTGGCGGTGGGTGGTGATGACTAGCTGCCTTCCCTCTAGTCTTACACTGCCAAATTAGGGACAGCTAGCGCAGCTATAGCTTTGCGCGAAATTCAAAAACAAACAAACAAATATAGTCTTTAAGATAGTAAACTTTTAGTGAATTATTCTATTGTTAACAAAGAATATTTATATTATAATCTTTCTCACAGTGATTTTTTGCTGATATGGATTGTTCTGTTGACAAACTGTTTCCTTTCTAATGTAGCACAGCATCAATTTTGCTGTGCAGCTCATGTTAACTGTTTCATCGGGCATATTTTCTTGCATTTTAATCAGTGTTTTAGCAGGCTCGACTGACCTGGGTTTTGATGTGAGCTCAGCTGATCGATTAATGTCATTAGTTCTGAAGGAAAGAGATTGTGTAACACTACACTTATTAGCACGAGGGCAGTAAACAAGGACCATATTTGTTTTCCTTTTTTTTTAAAAGAAGTACATTCAGATTAGGGTCTTTCTCATTAGTTTGATGAAAAATTTATTAGTAACCAACAAAAGTTATTCAAAATAATAGGTCAAGACAGTAAGCAACTTAAACTTGAGAGGTAATTTAGGATTTGTTGGAAATCCTTTGGTAATTTTATTTTTTATTGGTAGGTCCAAAGAACTATTTAAACAGTAAAGCTGCAGGTGAAAAAAAAAAGTCAGTAAAGGGTGTATAATATTTTTTTTAAGAATGAAATCACGAATGTTTTGCACAGTATTTAAGACTTGGAAATGATTTTGTAGCTGTAACTTGGTACACTTTTCAGAGAGAACATTGAACGTGAAATAATGACCTTTAAGTTCATAATTTTCCTGGCTGGCTCATTTTTCAAAAAATACAGGTCTAAGAAGTTAAAATTTTTTGAGTTATTTTAGGACATACTCTTTTTTTGTTGGAAGTGTAATGTTGAACCACACGTTATCTAACAACATAAACTTCACGAGTCTTTGACTTTCTGTTTATTGTATATCATTGTAAACATTGGGATCTTGTTTGATACTTTACAGCCGAAGACACTGAGGAAGTTGATCCAGAGCCACTTCAAGAAGTTTGCTTCTCTTTCAGAGGTTGACTGCATGTTTAAGTTCCTGGAGTGTGTCTGTCCATTGCTGAGATATGACAGGGAAACGTTTAAATGTGCTCTTGGGGTAAATCTTTTAACTATTGGTCATATCTGTTATTGAAGAACATTCCATAATGATCTAAAGTGTTTTTTTTTCTTCATTTGCAGCTTATGTAAATTTGCCTACCACCTAGGTTCATTGAGAAAGTTGTGTGCAAAATGCTTGCATCATATGATGTCAACGAAAATGAAGGGTTAATCATGTCTGAAATGTTTTCTCTGGTATTATATTAATCATGTCTATCTTTGAAGAAAATTCCAGAATGATCTCAAATGTGTTTGCTATTTTTATATTGTATTTTTTTTTAATCATGTCTGTCTTTAAATATCCCTGTTGGAATAATTTTCTATTAAAACATTTACCCTTAGCCAAAAAATTTGAAATAAGAAATTTTCAAATATGCTTAAATAATGAATACAAATGTTTGATTCATCCTCTGTTGTACTGTTTGTTGTAGTTAGAATAGTTTCATCATAGTTCATATTGTTTTCTTTATAGTTGATGCTACTCTGTCTTAGTTAGCATAGCTTCAGTTATAGTTAATTTTAGTGTTGCATGAAGTCATTGTTTATACTGAGAAATTGGTAATTTTTGGGCCTGAACCAAGCAGAAATAAAGCTGCACAATGGGTACCACTCTTCCATTACCAGTAGAAGTTACGTTTTATTTCACTCAATTGAGACTGTCAGTGGTCTTATTCGTAGTGAGATGGGGACATATATTTGGATCTGTGGTGATCCTTCGGGGGGCTCTGGGGCTGCAAGTGAGGGTGATACTTGACATTTTGGAGAGACTTTAGATTTGCTTTTTCCTGTGCCTTCTTTTAGTCTGTTGGATTTTCAGCCCCCCTGTGGGACACTGGTAAGTTTACAGATTCGCAGCACAGGGGCCCAGGGTTTGATTCACTTGGGTGGATATGGTAGGTGGCCCAAAGTTGCTTTGCTCTAATAAAACAGCTTAATTTACCTCAAAAAAATGCTGTTCCAATCAATGGTAATCAACACAGTCTTTATATGACCTATGAAAAACGAAAAGGAGGCCACTTTGGGATAAGCTGCCTTGGATTTGTTTTTCTTCTGTTGGTTCTTTGAGTGTGTGATGTTT